CTCTAAACATTCTAAAGTTATGTTGAGAAGCATACACATTAAAGCAGAACTATTTGCCTGACAGTAGTAATTTACACTTTTGAAGCTAACACCAAAATGTCATCCTACATTTTATGCTGACCTATTTTCCGCATAGTAAGATTATCTATCATTGAAACAATATAGGAAAATACTAAAACATGACTTATCCCAATAAGAAATTATTTCTTTACCTTTGGCCAATATGAGGCCGCCAGCATATATCCACCTTGTAAGATATAAGCAGACTCTGGTGTCCCATTGTTCATCTGAAAACTATCCTGAGTCTCATCCTGGGTAGTGCTCAGTGATGCGACGCTTTCTTCATCATAGGCTTTCATGTGAGTGGTACTTTCTGCTAAGAACAATTATAATAATTTTTTAAAAAGACTGCATAACATAGTTTTATAAAGAAAGATCTTATATAATTATTCAGAAACATCTGAGAAAGAAAATGTTAGAAGTAAAAACAAATGATAAAAAAGGGAAAAAATCACCTAGAATATAACGAAGTACCTATCATTATTATCAAGAGACAGGGTCTTACTGTGTCGCACAGCCTGGACAGAACTCCTGGGCTCAAGCAATACTGCCTCTGCCTCGCAAGTGGCTGGGATTACAGGTATGCACCACGGCCAATTCATTACCCATTATTTAAAAAATGAATCCTGATTGGTAGAATCATCTGGACTGGCAGAACTAGAAATACCTGATGAGGGTACCATAATTCCCTTGATGAGGTGACTCTTGTTACTCTTAGAACTGAACATGTTCCTTGCGGCAATTCTGAAAGTTAAGCCTGTGGAGTTGTTACAAGAGATCCTAGCTCCTGCTCATGTTAACTGGCTTCATTTTCTTGCACCTGAACTGTTGAACTGCTGCAAGGGCTTCTGCATAAGGGAATCACCAAACACTGTTCTACTGATAAGCATTTGCCGTGGCTGACAAATGGCCTATGATACTCTTATTGGTCTGTTTAAGACTCCTGGTGACTGCTATATAATATTATCTTTTATTTGTTCACTAATCAACTTGTTCCTGGGAAAAATATAATATTCAATTTAAGACAATCACAATGAAATAAAACTATTGTGTAAAATTTCCAATTCAACTGCCTGATTAATCTACTTTGTAATGCCTTGAATACTGAATAGGGGATTTGTATCAGTAATTCTAGTTTTCTTCTCAACAGTGCTCTCCTAAGAAAATCTGTATATATAAAACTTAAGTAAACAGGCTGGGCACGGTGGCTCACACCTGTAATCTCAGCACTTGGGGAGGCCAAGGTGGGCAGATCACCTGAGGTAAGGAGTTCAAGACCAGCCTGGACAACATGGTGAAACCACATCTCTACAAAAATACAAAAATTAGCTGGGCATTGTGGTGGGTGCCTGTAATCCCAGCTACTTGGGAGGCTTAGGCAGTAGAATTGCTTGAACCCAGGAGGCGGAGGTTGCAGTGAGCTGAGATCATGCCACTGTACTCCAGCGTGGGCGACAGTGTGAGACCCTGCTCAAAAGAAAAAAAAAAACCTTAAGCAAACAATTTTAAACATTCTTAAATTACCTGAATCGAGTTCTTTTCATTTTCACTTGAAAAGTTATCTTAAAAATGTAAAATTATTTTATGCATAATACCTCGTTTTTGGGTTTCCTCTTCATCACTGTCGCTTTCTTCTGATGAAGATGAAGAGGAAGAGGATGAGGAAGAGGAGGAGGAGGATGAAGAAGATGCTGAAGAACAAGATGAAGAAGAAGAAGAACTAGAGCCTGATCGAGAGTGGGAACAAGAGGAGGAGGATGATGAGGAAGAAGATGATCTGGAAGAACAGGATGATCTCTCAGAATCTGAGTCAGAATCAGAACTAGATTCTGATCCTCTTTTGTGGCCTCTCTGTTTCTTAGAAGCTGGGTTTGGAGTTAGGGGTTCCGTTCTGGCTGCAACCATGCGTCTGTCTGTGTCACTTTTTCCACCAGATTTCTGGTCTCCAGTAGCCTGTGGTAAAACACCATTCTTTGGACTTACAGGCTCAGATTTTATTAGGGTCCTGGTTTCCACAGAAGACATAGATTCTTCTTCAGAAGACTGAGGCTCCTCTTTAAGATTTTCACTTTTAACTTTCATCTCCTCTATAATAATACCTTTAGCATCTAGGAGCCTAGGTAAAGAGGTAAGAGGAGAAGCAGAAAGTGCTACTTGATATTGCTGTAAAAGTGGGGTGGAAGTCTTTGAATGAGCCATCTTACTTTGACTGTAGTTCCTCTGAGCTGCCATAAATGAGAGTTCAGGATCACGAAGAATGTGATAGTCTGTTCGGCTCACCCCGTGTTTGGCAGCACCAATAAGCAAATCCCTGTCATGAGGGCCACATTCCCACCAGACTGGTAAGTCTGGATTTGGATGGCAAAGCTTCAAGCGTTCAAACAACTGTGGATGTCGAAGGGCCTGTTCCCGTACTTTCCTTAGAAGTTCAATGCGATACAAAGTCCTAGAAGCACGTTCTTCTGTGATGGGCTGGATAAAAATATTTGGATCCACCAATTCTACATATTGAAACAAGGACAAGAATATTAATCTCAAAAACCCTTTATAAATAATTGATTATAAACAAATTTTTCTACACTTATAACAATACTATTTCTAAAACGTGCCTCCATGCAATATCACTGTATAGTTTCCAGAATTTCTTTTCAGTGAGGAGAAATTTAAGTTTTACAAGTAAGTACTAAAAGTTATGTAACATAAAACACTGGATGTTAATGTAAAACATAAGATGATTTTGGAAGTATATCATTATAACTGGGAATTTTGAGAAATTCCCCATGAGCTATGCATTTAATAAATTTGTCTTAAAGATACAAATAATTGCTCAAACTTACTTATAAATTAGAACTGTTCAGGGTTCTTTTGGCTTCCCTGGGCTGTAATGTAAGAATAATTGTACTGGGCCACACATAAAATACAACACTAACAATAGCTGATGAGCTTAAAAAAAATGGGAAAAAAACCTCATAATATTTTTAAGAAAGTTTACAAATTTGTGTTGGGCTGCATTCACAGCCATCCTGGGCCACGGGTTGGACAAGCTTGTGTTGAGTGATACTCCATAAACAAACGTAAGCTGGCATATCTCAAACTGCAAAAGGTAACAGGGCATTGCAGTCAACTCACAAAAGCAACAAGGGCTTTCTCAAGTTTCTAGGGAAACACAGGCACATCTTTCAAACTGTACAAATTACTAGCTTGAGATAGGTCAGTTTCAACATAAGCTCATGCTACATCCGCTTTGATAAGGTTATGCCTTTGCAAAAGTGGGTTACTGACACTTGGGAAGTGCCCAACAGGTATGGGCTTGCTGAAATAATGCAGGGACTAACATAAGCAGCACCTAATGCCAAATATGGAATAATCTGAGCAACAAATAAAGACAATATTGGATTGTAACCTATAGAATAAGTATCCATGAATCCATACTGATATGAATAAATAACTGATTAAACAGATGAGAGAGAGGAAAACCTTCTTCTTCATCTCTCTCGTGTGCAGAATTCCACAGAAAAAACTGCTGTAGACAAGATTTACTATTGGCAGATACTAAAAATCAATGGGTGAAAGTCTGAGAAGAAATAAGATTTGTGAAGCTTAAGATATTTGTTAATTATAGTAATTTCACACTGGCCAAATGCAGCATAAACTACCTTAACCACACAATTAAAGTCAACATCATCAGTAATAAGACATACTGCCATCACCAACCCCTTGATATTACATCCTGAGAACACATCATTTCTGTGGCACTCTTGCCAAAAATTCATGACCTCAATCTAGTCATGTAAAAACACAAGACAAACTCAAATTGAGGGATACATGGCTATATAACTGATCAACAGGTTTCAAAGTCATAAAAGCAGGGAGAACCTGTTGCAGGCTGCAGAAAGCTAAGGAGAAGGAAAAACCAAATACATTGTAGGATCTTAGGACAAAAAAGGACATTAGTTAAAAAACTGGTAAAATCAAAATAGATTATTTAGTTAATAGTATTATAGTAATGTTAATTTCTTGTTTTGATAATTATAATTACTCTGGTAAAATGTTAACATTAAGAGAAGGAAGGGTGAGAAGATAGATGGAAAACTCCTTGTACATTGTTTGCAATCTTCTGTAATTTTAAAAGTAGTTTAAAATCAAGGACCATGCAAAAATCAATATGGAGCAGGAAACAAAGTGGGAAGTACACAGTCTACTTCTAAGATTTGAAAAGTTATACAGTGTCCAACCAGTGCACACATCTGATTAGTAATTGTGGCTACTTAAGAAAGAAATAGAAATATTTTCTTTCAGTATGTTATTATGTCTTTAAACAATGACTAGATTGTGAGGACATAAATACTTATTGAGTTGTTAGACCTAATTATTCATTAGACAGAATGGTTAGGTAATTCTTTTGGCCTTGAGTGCTGTGAAAAAAATTACTGATATTAAGGGCACTGTAACTGAGGAAATTTGAGAAATGGTCTGAGTTACGTAGAACCTCAACCTCACTCACATTTTTTTAAACAAAGTACTAATATACAATTTATTTTATACTTGATCTTAGCCAAAAAACTAAGAGAAGCAATTGAAATTTATTTTAACTTGAAATAAAAGCAAAAACATAATATTCTTTAAAATACACCGATTATTGACCCATTTATTTTACATTTTATTAATGTGAATCATCATTTGAGATGTGAATCATGTTTTGTTTCTTTTTCTTTTTTTGAGATGGAGTCTTGCTCTGTGCCCATGTTGGAGTGCAACAGCAGTGATCTCGGCTCACTGCAACCTCTGCCTCCTGGGCTCGAGTGATTCTTGGGCCTTAGCCTCTCAGGTAGCTGGGATTACAGGTGCCTGCCACCATGCCTGGCTGATTTCTGCATTTTTTGTATAGACAGGGTTTCACCATGTTGCCCCACCTGCCTTGGCCTCCCAAAATGTTGGGATCATAGGCATGAGCCACTGTGCCTGGCCTGAGATGTGAATAATATTATTGAACAAACAAAAAAATGGGAAGAAATATCCAAGCAATGCATGTGTGCTGCACTGGTTTATGAAGGACATCCAGCATATATCTTTTGAACATGGGTCTGTACTCTTCCTACAAATGGGACTATGTTTGATTATTATGAAAGAACACTTACCTAGAATTTTCTCTCAATTTCTATTAACATAGAAATAGGTTTTTCTTATCCATTAAAAAGTCTCTAAGCCATTTTTGCATTAAACAAGCTGACATCATAAAGCCACTGCCACTTTCTAGCTAGAGTGATATGTACATTTTTGAATGCTATGATTACATGCTTATTTAGTGGGATACAGTTCTCCTGCTTCTATAATACCTATGTTAATCTTCCTTTTTTAAAAAAACCAAACTTGTGTAGCATTTTGTGTCCATCAATTGGAAGCAGGATGGAAATAAACACAATTAGACAATTCTTAACAAAGAGACCGACAATTTGAATTATCTTTTAAAAACAGTGAAAATGACAAGCTATTTGTCTTCTAATATGAATTTTAAACTAATATAATATAAATTTATAAAATTTTAAACTAATGTAAATATAATACTTGTAACAAAGGTTGGTGTTATAGCTTTCTGGCTTGTAGACAGATCTAAGCAAATTTTTACAGAGGGGATTTCCAGAGTGGGGGGTGTTGTGAGGCAAAGTGATGTTACTTACTAGTTGTGTGCTCTCCACTAGAAAGCTATGGAATGTGAAGCCCAGGATCAAATGTAAGCTGAAAGCTTCTTTCTCTCTTCAAACTGCTTGTCCACGGCCAGAGAGAAGGCCTCGTGTAGCCTGGATGTACAGTGTATGAGCCAGAAAAAGGAGTTTTCTTAGGAACTGGCCATGGAGGCCCTCAATCTTCTTTGAAATGTCACTCAAAAGGAAGCTCAATTTTGACACATTGTTTTCAGTGAAGCCAATCATCTCCAGCTTTTGAAGGATTAATACTGCTGAGGAGGGTATGACTTGGCACTTGACCAGTTCTTCCAAAGAAAGGTAAATTTTGAAGATGGCTGCTGCAGAGGGCAGACTGATATACTGCTTAATATCAGACCTGTCCATAAAGCCCATGTCAATCTTCACAATGATGTTGCAAGTAGTCAGAATCACTACATTAAAAATGCCTTTTAATCTGATTAATTTGGGTCAAGACAACATTGACCATGCCAATGGCACCTGATGGCTTTCATTATGGGTGGCTGTGAGACTTTCCATCTCATCAATCAGTTAAAATGCCACCAGAGCATCTTTATAATCAATCAAATCCTGAATCTTCTGGAATGTCTTAGTTACCAGCTTTTCCCTTTCAGAAAACCACTTAGAAAAGAGCCTATGGCTATTTATTTCAATTAACTGGCCATACCAATAGCAGCTTGAAAGTTTAATTGTCAATTTCTGGGCTAATGCTTTACATAGGAATATTTTTCCAGTTCTTGGAGGACCATGTAGCAGCACCACCTGGTTCCAGGTGCTGAGGCTGCTGTTGACATTCTTGTCTGAAAATGATAAGGTTGTAATCACATAATCAAGGTGTGATTTGACTTCCACATCAGACACTAGGCTGTTCCAAAGCCCATGGAATTTGGCTGCAGGCAGAACCCAGTGATTTGCCACAATTTTATCTTCTGTCTCTTCCTCCAACTTTTCACTGCTAGGGCCATCTTCACTCTGCTGGAAGATGTGAAGTGCAATAGTACATGCACTCAAATCAATGAGCTACGAGTCTTTAACCTTTAATTCTGTGTCAACAATACAGACGAGCATATTCCTGGTCAGAAAAAGTTCATCAAACTCAATCCATGTATAATCACCAAACACAGTATTATGTTTGGTGAGTAGCTTTCTGTTTATTTATTTTAGGGACAGGGTCTTGCACTGTTGCTCAAGATGAAGTACAGTGACATGATCATGGGTCACTGCAGCCTCGACTTCCTGGGCCCAAGTGATCCTCCTGCCTTACTCTCTCAAATAGCTGGGACCACAGCCATGCACCACAACACGCAGCTATTTTTTTTTTTTTTTTAAGAGATGAGATATCCCTATGTTGCCCAGGCTAGTCTTAACCCCTGGGTTCAAGTGATTCTCCCACCTTGGCCGCCCAAAGTGCTGGGATTACAGGCATGGGCCATTGTGCCCAGCCTGGTGGGTATCTTTCTAACACTCAGCTTTAAGTCTTTTTTTTTTTGCAGTGTTGCCTCTGTGCTGATGCACTCCATGTGGACTGTCCATGACTTGGTCATACAGGGCAGTGCTTGCTTCGAGTTGCCCACGGCCTTCCCCATGGTTCCACTGGAAGCAGCGGAGTCCTGGCCTGAGCCTGGCCACCACCACCTCATGCCCCTGCCTCAAATTTCCTTACTCACATTTCTGAGGAAACCCACATTTTAACTGATTATTTAGTAATTAGTCCTTTCTCTTTGAAAACTAGAATCAAAAGTGATGAATATATTCATATCACTATATTATTGATGGGAATGAAAATTTAAAAAATGAGGGCCTCTTAGCAACTATAAATGACACAATATTTTGCTTTATCTGTCATTTTAGACTCATTTATGGTTTTCCAGTAGACCTGAAAACAGATGGAAACCTACTCTGAATTACCTGGTAATCAAGTGATTGGCTACTCTATTTACAGTGAACTAACAAAAAATCTGTTAGGAAATAAAATTAAAACAAGTAAGGAAATCTTTTTACTATAAAACAAGAATAGCAGGCCATTGGGTTTAGCAGTCAGAAATCATATACAAAAAAGAATGGAGACAACTGCTCATGACATAGCATTATTGAGAGGAACTGCTGATAGGATGAGGTATGTCTCTGGGCTTTGAAGACAATGAAATGCATCCCAGAACAATGCCTTAGTTAAGTTGCATCAACAACTCTGTTTAGTTGTCTTTTGTGAAGATGGCCCTGGGAGATCTTTTCTAGAAAATTCTTCAAAATGTCTTATGAGTTGGGGCTTCATTCCTTGCAAAATTATTCAGGTAAATAATCCCTTTAGCACAATTCTTACAAGGTGGACTGAAAATATAGGTTAGTTCTGTTTAACAAAAGCAATCCTTTATCTTCCACCACCTCCTACTCATACATCTATCACTAAACTCTAGTTATTTTCTTAAAACTCAGTGTATACCTTTATTCTCTTTAGATCTTATTTTAATAGAAGGATTAAAGAATAGGGGATCTTTAAGCATAGTTTATTTACAATTCTAAAAAATTACTGACAAGTTGAATTAGATAGTATTGAAATTTCACACGAAAGAGACAAAACTGGAGATTTCTGAGTTTTAGTGATTTTTGCTTCTTTGACCGAAACAAGGAAAAACAGAAATTTTATACATACCTTCTTTGGAAGGAAGACGACAAACCCTCCGACACATGGACATGAATGCGTACAAATATTTCTCCAAACTATCATCAGTTTTCTTATGTAGCCTAGCCATAGCTCTAAATTTTGTCCAATCAAATTGGCCTCTGTCAGGGTCAAAAACGACTCCAAATGTAGATACAACCCTATAAAAGTCAGCTTCTTCTCTTCTTGTCCATCTATTTTGAGTCAGATTAAAGAAAAAAACACAGTCACTAAAATTAATATTACTAAATATAATAACTATAATACAAACTTAAAACATTTTAAGTACCCAACATTATAGAATTAAATACAAGTTTTTTAAACTTGTATTTAATGCCTTAGAAAACATTTTTAAATGCTAGTTAACTCATCTATCCAACCACACTTTTTTTTTTTTTTAAATTTACTTTTAATAGTTAACAGACATGTGCCTGTGACACAGCTTCAGGAGGTTCTGATGATGTGTGTCCCCAAACATACTTTTAAAAATATACACTATTCCTTCAGACAATAATGGTGTTTTGTACTTTTACTATGTGAGAAAATAAGCACAGGATACAAAATCATGTAAGATGATTCTGCTCTTCAGGAAAAAGATAAAATATTTTCAAACACATTTATAGTATCAGGTAACATCTTATATTTGTGTGAGTTAAATAAACCAAAAGTTTTAGGAGGGCACAGAAGGCAGAAGGATCAGTTCAGACTTGACAATCAAGAAATGTATCACAGAGTAAGTAGCATTTCAGATTGGATAAAGCTAAGGTTCAGGAAAGCTAGGAAGAAAGCACAGAGTAAGCAAAAAGGAAGAGCTCCATATTGTAGGGGAAGGATGAGGATTCCAGATAGACAAGGATATGGCTTATATTGGGGACAAAGCCAGATAGGGTTTGGGCCAGATTATGAAATGCTCTAAATGCCTGGGTAAAAGTAAACTCAGTTGAAAGCTCCTGATACTTTGAGATTGTAATATTACCATAATGCACCACAGATTTGCAAACCTCAGTGCATGTGTAGAACCTTTTCCTTGCTTAACTCACAGGATTGTTGTGTAAATTGGGAACCAGTCAAGTCATTAAATCTGGGTGATAAGAATACAAATGGGAAAAACGATTAATTGAAAGGCTACCCAGGACACAAAAATATGACAGAGTGCCCACCCTCAAAAAATATACAATTTAGAAAGACATAGAAAGGAAAAGATGAATGTCATTACAATATCTTATTGTGACAAATGAGTAGTTTACTTAGATGAGTTGCTATGTGAGTACAGATAATAGAGAGAATACTGTGAGCTAGACTGGTTAAAAAAAATTAATAGAAGAGGCCAGGTGCAGTGGCTCATGTCTGCAATCCCAGCAGTTTGGAAGGCAAGGCAGACAGACTACTTGAGGTCAGAAGTTCAAGACAAGCCTGGCCAACATGGTGAAACCCTGTCTCTACTAAATATACAAAAATTAGCAAGGCATGGTGAATGCACACCTGTAGTCCTAGCCATTGACGAGGCTGAGGCAGAATTGCTTGAACCCTGGAGGTAGAGGTTGCAGTGAGCCAAGCTCACAACACTGCACTCCAGCCTGGGTGATAGCGGGAGGCTCCATCTCAAGAAAAAAAAAAAATTAATAGAGGAAATGGGCCATATGCTGAGTTCTGAAAGGTGGGCTATGTGTGAAATAAACTGGTAGCAAGGGTGTTCCAGGTGACAGAGACAATATATGCTAGGGTATGAAGTCAAGAATAAGGGCACTCTGGCTGAGGGAAAAGAAGCGGATAAAATTAGAAATGCATGCTAAAACCTAAAATGAAGAGACCTTCAAACTTAGGCTTAAGAACCTAACACTTTTTATCTATACTAAATAAGGAGCCCTTGAATGTCATGATAAAAGTAATATTTTAGGAAGATTAATCCAGAATCAACAGATGGAGGGAAAAAGATGGTCACAAATGCCTTGTCACTCTTCTCATTAAGTGGTATTTCCCTTTCCCCTAAATCTTGACATGCCCTGTGGCTTTTTGTGACCAACAGAGGGGGGCAAAAATGACATTTTGTTACTACTGAGACTGGGTCATAAGAAATCTGCAGCTTCTTCTGCCTTTCTACTCGGAATGATCCCTCCTGGGATCTGAGCTACCGGCTGGCAGCTAGCACCAACTGTCAGCCATATAAGTGAGGCTACTGTGGCTCTTCTAGGTATCTCAGAAACATAGCCAATAGCATACAAAGGATAAGAAGTACCTGGGTCAACTCAGAGAATCAGGAGAAATAAAAAATTCATGCTGTTTTAAAGCATTGTGTTTTGGGGTAGTTTGTTATGCAACAATAAATAACAAAAAACAGTGCATTTACAGAGGCAGTAGTATTTGAAAATTATGACTAAGATAGCTAAAATCTTAACTATCAGACTAAATTTTAAGTATGATCAATGTGCTGAAAATGAAACAACAAAAGAACCATATATCTTCCAGAGAACATCCAAGGACCCAGGTAACAAGGAGGTCAGGTTATGCCAAATATAGCTATTCTTTCCCATGTACTCTATTCCTTTTAAGAAGTTAAAGCTTGTGAAATGAGAGAAGTTTGCCTGTCTTTTTAACAAGGTTGCTTGCGATTTGTTTCCTTTCACTTCAGTAGTTCCAAGTGTTTGTCTTCTGAATAAAGCAATGTATGCTTTCCATACATTTTTATGTTTCATAAAAGTCTGCATGTAAAATGTAAAATACAGTAGAATGGAATTTAATGAACATAAACTTTTGTTCTATTGATAATTCCTTTTTTTTTTTTTGAGATGGTCTCACTGTCACTTAGGTTGGAGTTCAGTGGTATGGTATTGGCTCACTGCAAACTCTGGGTTCAAGCGATTCTCATGCCTCAGCCTTCCAAGTAGCTGGGATTAAAAGTGTGCACGACTACACCGAGTAAATTTTATATTTTTTGTAGAGACGGGTTTTGCCATGTTAGCCAGGCTGGTCTTGATCTCCTGGCCTCAAGTAATTCACTCGCTTCAGCCTCCCAAAGTGCTGGGATTACGGGTGTGAGCCATGGTGCCCGGCCAAGGATTCAATTCATGAGTTTGCTCTACAACTTCACTTTTGTGTTTCTGTTTTTTGAGACAGTCTTGCTCTGTCACTTAGGCTGCAATGCAGTGGCACAATCACGTTTCACTGCAGCACGCACCTTCTGGGCTCAAAAGATGCTCCCACTTTAGTCTCTTAAGTGGCTGGGACCACAGGCATACACCATCACACCTGGCTAACTTTTGCATTTTTTGTAGAGATGGGAGTCTCGCTTTGTTGCTGGGGCTGGTCTTAAATTCCTGAGCTCAAGTAATCTTCCCACCTTGGCCTCCCAAAGTGCTGGGATTATAGGCATTAGCCACTGTGCCCAGTTATTATTATTATTTTTTAAATACCTCAGTGTTCCTAAACATGACAAAAAATGATTAAAGTATGGTTAGTAACTATAAGACACAATAACTTTTATCAGTTTTACCATACTTATATATATATAAATGTGTGAGTATATGTGTGTATGTGCACAAAGTGGTCTGCTTTGATTAACATTCTATGTATGTTCTCCACAAAGCGTGATAATCGTACACAAGGCAGACAGGCTTTAGAATGAAAAGCTATATTCACATACAACATATTAAAAATTTAGTGTTATTGTCTTACCTTTGCTGTCTTTCTATCTTGGCTGCCATTTTAGGATTAAGAGTGGCTTCCTCATAAATAGGCTGCATTACACTGGTAGACACCAAGAAAGTTGGTTGTATCTGTTGAATTTGTCTGTTTTTATTAGTACGCTGGTATGCAGTGATGAGACGCCTCAAACGTGTGGTTAAAGCTGACTGAGTAGGCCAATATACTTTATCACCCTCCATCAGTTGACCATCTATAGTTAAATAAAAATGTCAATAGTAATAATAACTAAACAAATACTGTATGAAACTCACAAAAGTAGCAACTTTAAAATTTTTTAATTCAATCTGATTATGTGGGGGAAAAAGCAATCAAATTTCTCATCATAAAAGCTTTCTTTTAACAATAGCTATAGAAAACATTACAACACACTTTAAGAGCAGTTCAAAGTAGGTAGAATACAGTGGAATAAAGACTTGCACAGCAAGTATAACTCTTGCCTGTCTAGGTATAGATCATACTGGCTGGCAAATACTTAAGGCTTTAACTTAAATAAATTAAAAGTCAAACTGAATCCATGAGATGTTGAATATTGTAACATCTTCTAATTGAAGCCTCCTGTAGTAAGTTTATCTCAGTTTAATTAGAATTAAAATATTTTAAAAGTCATTGGGAAAAAACACTTTTAAAATTTAAGATGACAATGATGTGACTTTTAAGTTTTATACATCTACTAAGTGTAGTATCTAATGCTCTATTTCCAAGGTGTAATACTATAATCATCTATACCATAATCAATCTGTAATCATTCATACTAAGCAAAAACTACTTTTTCATTCCTAGTTGAACTATGGCAGGGTGAGGCATTGTTCCTCTTGGATGCTGGTGGGAGTGAGTGTATCCCCTGTGACAGTGTGTTTCTATCTTGATATCAGAAGGAAGTAGAAGCAAGACCTGGCACAAAAGAGCTTTGTAGAAACTAGGTGATAAAGAATGGCTCCTAATGTATGCACAGAATGACAAAGAAGTTGAATATATTATTGGATCAACACTTTAATGATGATATCTCACAAGTTTAATAATCAAGTCATAACATCATCAAAACATATATTCTATAAAAGCTCAGTGAGTCACTGCCTAAAGATTTGTAACAACTAAAAGTACTGTTAAATTTCCAGTCAACTAGTATGTCCTATAAAGATTACAACTGCAGTTAATTTTTATATATTTGAAACATTATAAAAGTATAATCCTTTATTGATCTCATAATAGGATTTGCATGTGAATTTATAATAATACTAAGTACGGAAGTAAGTGCAATTTACCTCCATCTGCTATAACAAGAT